TCGCCCACCCATAACGACGGCGGATCCATAACAACTGACAGAGCTTGCAAAGAGACCGGAAGTCATACAGAAGATATTCGCGAAACTAATATTTTAATGACGTTGAGGGGAAGTGATACAAGATTTGTCTGTCTTCAAAGCGCTCAATTCCAAAGAAGCAGACGGATTGGTCAATCTCGAAAATATTCATGCTAATGGAATTGTCAGTAGACAAGCGTCATGGTTAAACTTCAAGCAAAAGTGACCGCGAAGGTGAAAAGGGCACGACTCAAGTTTTGCCTCTTAAATCTTATAAATCATGGCATCCAGAAAAAGATTTTATGGACTAGATATATAGTTTGATATCCAGTATCTTTTACAGACTGCCGTTCCGTTGCAGTTAAGAGATATCGAATGTCTGGAGGATGATGCCATTTTTTTCCATCACGTGCTAATTAAACGAAACTAATAACATGCCGTCCAGAGCGTGTTAATATGTGGTCTTGAAATTATTCGACTTCACTGATTTTAAGTCTGCCGTTGGCCGTTGATCATCTCAGTCTGCTAAGACGAAATGGGTTGATGTCCTTCCAAAGGTGCTTGTCTCCAGCACTCATGACTTGAAGAAGTCGTAAAGACAGGAACAAACTTAATAATAGGTCGTTTCACATCATTGTTCAATCGCTTTCTTTGTCAATGCAGACCAAATTATAATCGTCATTGCGGCATTTGCCTGATCACTTCAAGTACCTATTGGTTGTTCTGCTTACGACAGCTCAGAATGTGACTCTGATCGACACCGTCTTGAGGGTACCACCAATCAGATCAGCTAGAATTCAGTGCATTCAATTCATGAAATAAAAGTAACTGCACGGGAACAGTTTGCATTGTGGTCTACTGAACTAACCGTTCACAGTTCCAAGCTGTCATTAACACAAAAATAACAGATCTGATTCCATGGCTGGCAGCATAATGTAATGCTTCATCGTGAAAACCATGGAATCTGAAGACCCTCTGTTACCTTCAAGTAGTCCATGGCATGGGATTTTAAAAATTATTCACATTAACGTAATGTAGCAATGTATCCGGAGAGTTGATTTTTGCATGCGTTAGGATATACTGTAAAGAGAAGTTCGAGTAAATCTGAATCTGCAGAATCTCTGATTTGTTTGCTAGAGTAAACGATTTGCTCTCGCTACCTCACACGAATTGAATGCAGTCAGGTAAGTAGTAAACGATCGTATATCACGTGAATAAAGCGTTACATGCTGACTGTAAGAGGTCATGACGTTACCCTTCGCAAACGGCAAGTATCAGCTGATCCAGCTAACAACCTCAAACCTCTAAGTTTACTGTACGTAGGTTGCGTCTGCTGATCCGTCCAATAAATCATACGAACAAGAGATGCAGTGACCTAGACCGGAGAATGAGGCCAGTGCACACTTAGTCGGTTTTTACCATTTATTTGGTCACAGACCTTTGAACAGTTGCATAAGGCTTTGACGCGCACTCTCCCAGTAGCTGCCCACCCGTCACATATTCTTGAAGTACTCTCCACGCAATCAATAAAATGACCGATGATAAATGAATGATTTCTGTCGCAAGCTTTTTTTCAATCCTTAGTCCCTTATTCTTCTAGGTCACCCCACCGGGACAAATGCCTCATTGTTCCTCCTGAATCTTCAGTTATACTGTTTATTAGTACTCATTTTTTAGAGTACGTTGCAAGGACAGCCATAAGAAAAATTCCCTGTTGTTACTGCTGCCCTTTGGATACTTTCTTTGACTCCTAGGCAGTTATCTGACATTAGTGTCACCTGATCTATTACAATCATGTTTTGCATCGTAAAACTCATTTTGGGCATTCCTGTGTAAAGGGTTCCTATGCGGTTCCTTCTACAGCTTTCACTATTACTTGCTAGTCTGCAGAGCATCGGAATCAGAACCAAGAAGGTCCCGGTTCGAGCACCCATTAAATGACGCACCTTTCTTCCCTCGATGTTGATTAATGAGTTCATCTTCGTTGGCAGAAGACAGCAGACTACACTCTACACTTGCCATAAAGTTGTAGACACTGTCTCAAAAATATGCTGTCCCCTTACAAGGCTGTCTGGCTTTGAAAAGTAAGCGATCTAAAACTCACAAAACTTTCTAACTTCAAATGGGCACTTGAAACGTACGTTGAAACGTGAGTACTAGTGCATAGTCAATCATCCGATTGAACAAATTATTTGCGTTTATATAAATAAATCGTTTTTGTATTGTTTTCAAGCTACTCCTTGTTTATTGCGTATACGCTGAGATCAATGCTGCCTGCAAAATATTCTTCATGCAAAAATGGAACTACGTGTGAGAAAGTTTCACTGTCTGTGCTGAGGTTTTCTGACATTCAATATATTTTATGCACCAAATAAACAAATCGCTGTTTTTAAGCCTAGCCGAATAAACCTCATTCTTTACCCAACAAGGATCTATACATCTTATATCGGTTAAGGATCTTTTACTCCCTGCTATATACCCTTTGTAGAATCACAGTTTGAGGCGAGGCAGTTGTGGAAATGAACATTATTGGCGCAAAGCAAATCACCTGTAATGAAACCCAATAAATATACGAATAAAATACAACACTGAGGTAGCAGTAACGACCGACAGCTTTCCAGTTTCACCAATAAATCCTACATGTTAATTGGAGATGCCAGATATATTCATCATCGGAAACAAATCCTGAACATCAGGGCCACTTTCGATCCTATTCTGTCCATATATTTGCTTACCGAGAGTGGCTAACGTTGTTTGTACTCGGACATGTCGTTTATCAGCCCTACTCGGTGATGCGATGTCACGTCCGAAGCACTGCAAGCCCTTAAGTACCAGGGAGCCGTAGGCTGATTTTCATCAGTACTGTAAACGAACAACGCATACTACAACAGTTCACAGATGAATAAAAGAACGAATGAATTAGTGACTGATTGACGTTTGTGATAAGATGTCCGTTTCCCTTGCATCAGCGTCGTTGTTCACCGTGCCAGGTGATTGATTTTCACAAGCTTGATGTGCAAGTTTCAGGTTTCAACTTCAGCAGCTTCGTAAACGGTATGGCGGTGATTCACAACAGCCTTTACGCGCTGAACGTGCTTCGAGCCGGGGACTCGCCAGTGGCGTTGGTGAAGTGCGTGTTTTACGGCTCGTACAACTTTTGCTACGTGTTCAGCGAGTGTTCGCTGATGATGATCTTGCTGGCAATTTCGGTCGACAGGGCGCTGTCGTTGATGAAGCCCGTCTTCCACAAACAGATCGCCTACGACAGCTACCTGCGACTGATCTTCCTCATCTACTTCTACACGTTGGTGAACGTGGCGATGGTCTGCGGCCTGATCGTCTGGAACTACCCGAGCAAACTCGTGTCCGTCTTCTGCAGACAGTACGACGTGATTCCGAACACGTTCTACGCCATCCACTTCTACAGTATCATTCTGACAAACGTTCTCGCCTCGTCGTGCAACGTCGTGTCGATCGCCACGGCGACCAGGCGCATGCGCCAGTCGGTCAGTGGTGTCTACAGTACTCCTTTGATGAAAGAGGAGCTGGCGGCGGCCAAGAGGCTCTTCGTTGCCGTTCTCAACACCGGTCTGCTGATGATCCCGCCGATTTTGTTGCACTGTCATTTCTTTCACGCAGGCACGGCTGCCAGCGACTTCACGGCGTTTCTGTGGGCCCCGTACGACGTCAGTTTGATAGTGTTCATTCTCTTGTACTCGTACCATCACAAGCACCTGCGCATGTCGCTATATGACCTGTTTACCTGCTACAGAAATAACAGTATTGCTCCAAGAACAGCTAGTCTAGATTAAATTTTCCATGCGTACAGATCACTTCCTCCATTTCAGTACTCGACATCGCCAGTCGTTCGACTGTACTGGTGAGTGAAACTCAACGAGAACGCACTGTTCAAGCACAAACTGATTCTCAGACGTGAAAGACTAAGCGTACCATGTCACGTGTATGAACAGAAATGCTGACCTACAAAACCCTATCAAATAATATAGAAATTCATGCAGTACCTTAAACACGCCCGTCACTGTGTGACATTCACGTGCCGTTCCACAATGGATAAAATAACTACGCTCTTCGCACAGACATTTCCGCTGTTATAATGTTCGAGGGTTGCGAAGAGCCAGTGAATATGCAGGATTGAACGGTTCTTGACTGGTTGCGAACGCTGGCCAATCAAATCTTAGGCGCAGACGGTTCTTTCATCTTCGCGCGCCACGGTCGAATCAACTTCAACAGTTGCTACCGCTTCTTACTGGTCGCAGCCTTAGCTACAAGTGATGCTATGGTGCCGATGCAAGGGAACAGCTGGCGCACCTCAGATCGCTATCAGTCTGACTCTTCTACAAATCAAAGGGGCCGCCACACCTGTATGTAAGCAAATTTTCATTCAGCTGTTTAATAGCAAATCTTTGTAATGAGCGAATTAACGTCAGCCAAACCAGATTCCAGGTAACAGCGACTGCAATTAACTTTCTCATATGAATGGCTGGGTTTGCGCCTCTCGACAGAGTGTTGAGTTAAGGTAACCAAGAGGGCCTTGGTTCACAGCTGCGATAACTGAGGCATATTTTGTGAATGCTCTCAAAACGAGGGACGAAAGAACTACTTCTTGGTTAACCGGCAGGCCGAAAATACCGTGAAGACTAAGAATGCCCTTTGGCAGGGGTTCGATGAACTTTGCTCCAGACTGGGGCTATCTTTTACCGAAGCTGAGAAACTGACATAGCGTCAGGAACGCTGGAGACACTGGCAGATGCTGCTGACTCCGACACCTGCAACGACAAGCATTCATCGAAACACACTGACAGACTGATAATACTGATATCGTATCTGTATCAGGTGATCAAATCAGTAAAGTCCCACCCTGTGAATCGTTTGAAAGATGCTTGCCGTTTGGGATGACAGCACACTACTGTTGGACAAACAAAATTATTCATATGAATGGCGTACATTGCGTACACACCGTTGCGTCCCCTGTTCTACAAAACGGACTGGCCTTTGTGTTGTCCACTGATTTGTATGGCTAGCCGGTGTGATCGATTCATGCATGCGACATGTGGTGCTGCCATGTCCACCCGTAGACATTCATCAACCAGCATTGACACCGTTGGTACTTTCATGACTGAGCGATTTCACTTATCGTACGTAAATGTCATAGGACGAGTGGCCATAGCTGAGTTAAGGACATCTGTTGGCTAGGCGTCATCTGGTCACGTGTGCTGCCTCAACAGTCGACCTGGGGTAACCGAGGGTACGGAACTGCACACAAGATGTGCATGGCCTACTACATTAGTATCCTAACACTAACTAAAGAGAATGTCGATTAAACACCGCGCTGAAGGATATCTGCTGAATGAGACTCTTGATAATGAATGAAAATTTTGAGGGAGTGAGGAAATGAAGTTAGGGGTTGAAAAGAAATTTTTGCACTGAAACAGAATTCACGACAGTACAAGAGGAAACAGTTTGACAAATCGTTGAGTAGATCAGGTACTGTACACCTTAAACTACTATATGATGAATCAAGGAGGATTGTAATAAAATTTGTCAGCCAGATTACCAAAATCACAAAACGATTTACCGAAAAGGCTCGGTTTATATACCCCACCGCCTTGTTGCCGTCACTCCATTCTATATTCACTCTGATCATCGTCTGCTATTCGTGACGGCAGCACAGAAGATGAGTTATAGTTGACGAACTCATTATAACAGTATTAGTTGGCAGCAAAAAACATTTCTTCTATGATATGTGTCACTCCATTATATTCACATACTCGCAACTTGCGGGAACCTGATCGAGTACAAGCTACAGTTCCACCGTAAGCAGCTCCATCGAGGGAAACATGGAATAGTTTACTAACAGATTGCTTACGAATATTTTCCAAACAAACCCATCCATATCTTAGAAGGAAGTACCGTGTACCGGAACAGATATTTAAGGCACCCAACGTTGCTTATGATTCGAAGTCTGATATCACGTCCTAAGTTCAAAAGAGTTATTGATTTAAGGCTGAAACTACCTTGTAGCCCTAGGTTAAATGGTCGTCCTAGGCATCTAGAAGCCAAGGGACGGTGCAGTGAACTACTGGTTTAATTGAAACAACGATTTTTCTTTCTTTACACGTTGGCCGTTTCAATACGGTATTATCATTGTATTTACTGTAATATATTCAGTCGCTGTATCGATAGCTCCCCCCAGAATATCAGAGTTCCATTTTGTCAGTCTTTCTCCTACGGATCATGGCAATGCTTCTTGCTTGAACATACTTTCGCTGAACCCATGATCGAGACGCGATCGTGCATCATATAAACTGCAGGCGCTTAAATACCTGGGCCTGTGGCCTGCTTAAATGACCCCTTAGGCATCTAGAAGCAAGCAATCAGCTGTTAGTGTAAAACGAGAAATTTGATTTTATTTTCTTTACACCGTGCATTTGCCGTTTCAATCAGGTATCATCATATATTTACTGTAAAATTACATTTATGACTATAATTTTTGCAATTGACGCAAAATCTGTCAACTGTTTACCGGTTTATTAACTACCACCTAACGGGGCAGATATTTCAATAAAATGAGCTTTGCCGTTCACAAATGGCAGAGCAGAGGCATTTAAACAACAAGACCCTTTGAAAATCATCAAAATTTGTGAGGCTGACAAAATGGCAAGTATGGGTTTATTAGTCATGCAAACTTGCCTCTTTCCAGCGTCGGTCTAAAACGTTACCATGTCAGTTCTTGCGGCAGGGAAGTATGTACATCGACAGTATACCTTGTCACTGTGCACTTGACGATCTACCATGCAGATGACCAAGAGAAGCAATGGCAAACGTCTGAACGACTGAATAACGCTTGCAGGTCCAGAAACTGACCACCGCGTGTCGGACATCCGGTTGGTAGTAGCAGAACATGAGCATAGTGATGAGCACGCTGACGTGGTAAGGAATCCACAGGAAGGCCAAAAACTGTCGCAGGGTTTGCTTTATGATGAGAGCCATGTGAGAGAACTGAGGGATAACCATCAAGACAACGATATCGATGAGGGCAGTGGACAACCGCTTGGTGATCAGCAGCTGTCGACTGGTCTGTTGGTTGGTGAACGCGTTGTTGGAAAGGCGCACGATTTTCTTGATCAAAAGTGTGTAGACGGCGATCGAAACGGTATTGATGGTCATAAGCATATAAATATGGATCTCGTGCACCAAAGGGGGGAACACCTGGAACTGGAGACAGAATGCCGAGATGAAGTCGTCGCGCTTGTCAAACACAACCAAGC